CTAAAAATGGTCCCCTACCAACAGGAGATGTAGCTGTAACAACAGCTGGAAACTTACCTTGCAAAGTAATCATTCATGCAGTTGGTAAGTCTAGTCATTTGACAGATTTAAGGGACCATTAAGTTTTTACAGGCATGGGAGGGCTGGTAGGTTTCTGTGTATTTTAAATTTTTAAAAAATTATGACACTTCCCAACCTATTAAAACAAGATATTTTTTGTATAAATTTTCTAATTATTTAGTTATTTTTGGGGTGGCTTCCTTAAATGCCATATCTTTTTATATAGCGCCCTTCATCCCACTAGCCTTCCCATGCCTGTAAAAAATAAAGTGTCTTATAGTTATGATAATGCCTGATAAAATCTTTTAAGTCGTTGCCTCTGGTGTCACACAAGAGCACCTCGGACACCAAGGGGGTGAAAGCAACAACTTGTAGTACCCTGACTTTGCTTAGCAGACAGTTTGTTTGAGAGTTTGATAAAATGCTATCTTTTTTTAGTCTCTTAGGTTCATATTTATATCAGGAAACATTACCCCTGTGTCCGTTTTTATGTCATTCTGTTGGGAAAGATGGCAAATTCGACGCATACTAAGGGAGAAATCCCTGCTTTACTTTTATAGGTCCAGTGTGGAGAGGGGGAGATGCAAATGAGGAGAAAGACCTTCAATCAGCACTACTTAACTCTCTGGAAGAATGCCATCGTCGTAACTTGACAAGCGTTGCAGTCCCTGCAATCAGTAGCGGCATCTTCGGATTCCCCAAGGATCTATGCGCCAAGATTCTTTTCTCAGTAGCTATTGATTTCCTTAGCTCGAAAGAGGAAACCACTCTTACCTGTATTCGTTTTACAAACTTCGATAAACCAACTGTTGAGGCATTTAAAGATCATGCAGAGACACTTATCAACAAACCGGGCCTAAAAGTAGAGATTTATCCACAAAGCATGCTGTAGGTTATGTTATATAAATATATGGAACACATAAATGAGGTTTAAACCTCAAATCCACTTGAAGGTCACTAAGTCCAAAGCAAGGATGTTGTAAAATATTTCATAAAAAATTTCGTTTACAGCTTGGTTACTAAGCGGTTAAAATCATTTTCACTTTCTGAGTTGGATAAAGAGGCAAGAATTAGAAGTTTGTCTTTAGAGTTGGCTTAAATAGGAAAACGTTAGGAAGCAAACAGGTTCTGTAGTCACAGAAAATCTTTACCCAAATAAATGTGAACCAACGTGCCATATGTGAGTTTTGATTCTAACACATGATCACATGCTGCGCATAAACCGATAAAGAAGTGGAAGGGAGAACGGAAGATCAACTTCCTCTAACTCCCTGCATAAAGGCACGGAGATTTTTACTACTCATGAGAAGAAATTTGCCCTCTTGAATCTTTATAAATGAAACTGAAAAATGCAACCGAGAAGACCCAATGAGGCAAACTGATTAAGGTGACACAGATGCGCAACTGAAATGGAATAAAAAGGACTTGGTTTGAATTTTTTTACTATATAGTCAAGACGCCCTATAGTTGTCACTTGGATTTCTGTATCATGCAGAGATCGAGAGGCGTAGTACACCTGAAGAAGTTTGCAATCTTATTTAAATGATAATGGAATGTTACACATATGAAAAAATGATTTCGTTTAACTCTTCTAAGGCAATCTTCTACCGTTAGGTGTTCTCTACATATTATTAAAATAATTGCTGGTTCTGCCCTATTTTACCCTATAAAATAAACAGTTTTGCGTTATGCGTGTCAGACTACTTGTGAATTTGATATTGCGCCATGACGCAAAAAATCAAATATCCCAATGTTCTCCGTCAGAATAACCAGTTAAATTTCTTATCCTTTTACAATCCTTTGCTATTATATTATTTACTGGGGTGGCCTTTTATTTTCCTTTCCTAAAATTCAGAAATTGTTAACCAGACCCGGAAGACTTCACGGCACTACCCATTTTTTTAATAATACTTTATTCAAAAATGCAGATTACATATTTTGAAAAGGAAGACATTGAGGTTAGCCCTATATAAGTCCTTTGCGGGCATATGATATAGAGATCCAAGTGCAGTAAATATTCTTGTTCTTGTATTCGGACTTTTACAGGCTTAAGCAACCGACTAGGAACTAATCTATTTTCACTAAAAAAGGTTGCCCTTTATTGTTGAAGATTTAAATCTTATAAAAAATGGATCAAAAAACGAAAAATCTTACGTGGATAAGATGGGATTCGAACCCCCCCCCAAAACAAAAAAAACAACAATACGATTCCACTGTGCCATACCCCCGAGACATCCGCAGAGCTAAGGCGGCGTATGGACTTCGAACATGACGGCGATTTTAAAAGTCTTCTGCCCTTGGGTGTACGAATTACGCAAGAACATGTTCTAGCCAAAGCATCAGGGGAGAGACCATCCGGCCCCCAGACCATAATCCCTTGCATCTCTGCCACGCACGGAATCRGTTGAAAATATGTTTTTACAAAAGTCTAGTATGTTCGGTGCATTGTTTTCACGGCTATTGTTATGCTGATTCATCTGGAGCCATAGTCCAGTGGATAAACCGTTGTCGTTCAAGATACTTAGTCAAGCTCGTCTAGGGAGTGTTAGCACTTGGATGGGTGACCTAAACATTATACCCTATTCGCGTTTTAGCTCCTTTTCTCCGTTTTTCTTTCTTGACATTTAAAATAATGGCAGGCAGATCCATTTATGTTTCAAAAACCAGGTCAATCCATACAAATCAAAATCAAAACTGTAAAGTCGAACAAACCTTTTTATGCTAGCTTTCTATAATCGTTTATAGCGCTATCATTGTTAATCCTCAAGTAAAAATGTGGCAAGTAAAAATGACTTAAAACAATTGTGAAGGTGATCTACCATGCGTAGACATAAATTTCCGACACATGTTTTGCMGCCCCACCCCCAATCATTCACTTCGATAAATTAGAAATTTTGTAGCCATTCGTTTAACTAAAGATTTCCAGCTTTTAAGATGATTTCCGATAATATCAATAGAACGTCTATAAGATGAAGTGAAATAAACTGAAAGGATCACAGCGACATTTTATTGTTAATCTAACGTAACATACATCTGGAACAATTCAAAAATACCAAATGGTATGATCGTCACAGCTCGCTGTGCGGAAATGTTTTAATCTCAAGTTCCATTCCATAAATCTCTTTATACCTCTTTTTGAACAACTCCAGCTTGTCTTCAGGAATGAACGCTTGAATAGTTCCATCTCTTTGCTTCTTAAATTCACCTGCCCTCATCGCATAATCGTAAAACTCAGCTGTCCTCTTCACTCCTTTACTAAGAGAGTATGTTTTCCACTTTAGCAATTTTTCAGCCTTGGTGATATTGAGAGGTCCACGTTTAACCGATGGGTAGTAAGTAAAAGYTTTGTCTACTGTAGTTTCATCAAACTTGACGTTTGGAACTCCCACATACTCCCCCAGTAGAGTAATAAACTCTTTCAGCGTTGCAGTCTCCTTGAAAGCCAAGTTGTACGCTTGATTAAARACGTCCAGTTGAAGGTCTTTCAGGCTAAGCAACAACATCGCCAAACTCTCTGACATCACGAAACTGAGTTGCTGGTTATGTAACTTTGGGGGGTAAAAGATTGGTCGGTCGATTACATCCTGGAACTTTACCCACAGAAAGTAAATCCAGAACCGATCGGTGTTGTCACGTGGTCCTATGACGTCAGGTATCCTCAGGGATATGTAGCTCAATCGGTGCTCGTTGTGCTCTTTCCGAAGCACTTCTTCACATGCTAACGTTGAGTCACCATAGTGATCATATCCTGCTTTCTCTTTCAGTTGTTCGTAGTTTTCGAGGCGTATTGCATCTGATTCCTTGCTAGGGCCTCCATGGCTTGATGGTTTACAGACTTCGTAGACTGAATCTGAGCTGATATACACATAACGACCAACATGAGTGCGTAGTAATTCTAAGACGTCCTAAAAGTGATGATTTTTTGATTAGTTGTCCATACGAATTCGGCTTTAAAATAATAAACAAAGCTCTGCTTCCTTCAATTATCAACCTCGTCCTAACCCCTTGTAATCCTCGTTCACATGCAAGGAATCCAATGTGGCGTAGCGGTATTACATTTGCCTATCACCTCTGGGGTCTTGGGTTTGATTCCTAGACTCAGCCGGCACCACGCGTACACGTGAGTCAAAATGTTTAGGTCTCTTCTTTGATTCCGGGTCACCGGTATTCCTCTCTCCCCTAAACCTATATTTGAGTTAGCTGTTCCGGTGACTTTGATCAGCCCAGAACCTAATTCAGGGTATCGTTTGAGGGATGAAAACGTAATACCAAAATACAGGGAAGCGAGTCATGTTGACAAATGCATTGTTACTGCGCATGAGTAGATTGTTATTTGCAGCAAAAACAGCTTTGCACCGTAATGCGCATGAGCAGAATATTAGTTTCAGTTGTATCGGCCAATCAAAAACGACGAAAAATAAATTGAATGATAAATAAGTTTACCTGCCTAAATTTAAGCTCACAACACAGTGCACTGCCTGCATTTTTTAAAAGTAGACAAGAAATAACCTTTATTCATAGAGGGTAATCGATTTAGTATAAAACAAATACGACATGGACCAGTTTTGGAATGTAGATTCACCCTAGCCAACGCAAATGATAGATCAATTCGGTTAATGCAATATTTTATACGATTCAAATCTACTGGGAATATTTTTCTAAATACATATCATATCCATGTTTATGCTTTATTAGCATGTAAATATAACGGACAAAATACTCCCAGTAAAATTGATTGGTTTATTAGTTGGCTGCAGGTTTATCGTAAGGGTGTTTTGATAGAATAAATGGCCGGAACACAAAAATATTCAGTAGCAAACAGAGGACTGGAGAAAGAATTATATTATCGCGGACTGGGAGCAAAAAGAACAGAAGGAAGGAACGATGAAATAAAAGAATGAAACTGAGAAGAAAAGGAAGAAA